AAGCAGCATTTGAGACAGGTCATGAGAAACTTGGCAAACTTGTTGTCTGCAGCTGGGAGAGAATGGAGGAACGTGGAGATAAGGGGAGATTGCCCTCTTCCTCATTATGTACACTTGCCACAGAGCAGGACTCCAGGAGCCCACTTTCTCAAAGAGACAGGGAGACTTCTTGATCAGGACCCTAGGGGGTGTGCCCCAATGAGAGACCCAATCTTGGAAGTTCTTCAGCCCAGCCTCCAAGACAGGAACCAATCACAACCCATACTGCTGCTCTGGCCCCGCCTTCCAGGCAGAAGCCAATCCTTGCAGACTCCTTGGCCCCAGCCCATAGGACACCCAATCCCAGCTCCACAGACCCTGTTACAAAGAACAGTCTTATACACCCCGCCTAACCTGTGCAAACAAATCTCAGCCCAACCCTCTCTTCAGGAACCAATGGCAGCCTCAGCCTATTGGCCCCGCCCCCTCGGAGTGAGAATGCCACCCAGTGGGCTCTCAGTAGCTCTTCCACTGCAGGAACCAACCACCCAAGCCCTTCAGCACCCTTACTCCCCTGCACCATTGGTAGGAAACCAATCACTTTCCTACCACCTTAGCCCAAACAAGAACCAGTCATGATCTGCCTCTCGGCCCCGCCTCCCAATTTAAGGCCAAAGCCAACAGCCAGCAGGCCTCACCTTTCAGGCGCTGATCCAAGTACTCCAGCATCACTCGGATGATCTGCACAATGGCCAGGATGAGGGCACCAAAGGCCAGAGAGCCTGTGTGGTACCTGAGGGCCAAAGGCACGGTCAGTGGCTGGGCCTGGCCTCCTTCACCCCATCTTTCCCTGACCCCCAGCCCACCCAGGGTCCCACCTGAGCGCCCTGCTGAAGGCAGAGAAGAGAGGGAAGGCAGGCAGGTCATCTGGTTTGTGCAGGGACCAGTAGTAGGAGGCGAAGGCCCCAGCTAGCGTGACCTGGCCCAGAGCCAGGACGAAGTTGGCCAGCCAGAAGAACATGAAGGCATTGAAGATCTGCAGGCCCAGCAGGGCCCGGTGGTAGCCTGACTCACCACCGTAGAAGGCGAACTGGCAGTGGGCACCAGGGCACAGGCGGGATTCATTGGAAGAGGAGAAGGTCTGGCGGGGGGATGCAGAGACCAGTCACAACACAGGGGCCTGGGGTTCAGAGTGAGCTCTGGGCATCGGGTCTGGGTTAGCTATACCACAGGGTGGGACAGGAGTCATGGGGATCAGAGTTAAGTCAAGGGGTTCTAGAAGTAAGACCAGGGGTCATGGACTCAATGGGTGTCAGTGAGGCAAGATAGGCTAGGGGGTCGGGGTGGGGTCATATATCAGTGAGTGGCAGAGATCAGTATGAGGACCACAGGGTTCAGGATAGGGGCTTGTGGAAGGCAAGGAAGGGGTTCCAGACACAAGAACTGGAAGTTTACTGGGTTTGGGACAGAAAATAAAGTCAAGGTGAAAAAGGTGGATGGTCCAGTTCTTGGGGAGGTGGGGTGCCAAGTTGGATCCATGCCCCCCACATCCAGCACATGAGAGAGAGCAGGACCCAAATTTGGTTGAATGGTCCCCAAGTATGACGAAAGATTTCAGATCCTCTATGAGCTCTTGATAGCTGCCCACCACCTCTGGATACCCACCTCAGGGTTGCAGGTTTTCCCAGCAACTGGGCAGTCAGTGGCATCATCAAAGATCTTATAAATGGCTTCATTGGAAGTAGACAGGAAACTGGAGACTCGTTAAGGAACCTGAGATCTGAGATTAAACACCCCAGGGGCTTGTGAGAAAGGATCCCTTTTCCCATCAGGCCCTTTCTCCAAGCCACAGGTCACTTCCAGGTAAGTCTGGTCCTTAGCCATTCCTGGGGCTAGGGATTGGGGTCTGACAGTGGATACACAGCAGTGCTGGCCCAGTAGGCGATGCAAAGGCACAGCAGGAAGAAGGTGACCAGTGGGTACAGCATGGAGCACATCACGTATCCCACGGCCCTGGGGAGGAACAGAGACATGGGCATCAGGGCCCAAGCAGCCCTGGTACCATCCCAGCCTGAGGCCCTGTCACTCACCTGCTGGCTTCTTTGATAAGCGCAATGGCAATGAGAATTCTCTTCCGTAGAAAGATTAGCAGCAAGATGATAATAACCTCGATAATGCTCAGAATTATCACTGCAGGGGGCAGAGAGTGTCTGAGTCTGTCAGCTGTCCGGGCTCCCCACTCCTTCCCAGGCCTCACTTGGGGCAGGAGTGGGGAGCTGGGACTCACTGAAGGCCATCCAGGTCTGTCGCAAGTGCAGGTACACACGAAGGTCTGTCTGAAAGCCGAGGTCCACCAGGGAGACGTCGGAGCCGGCCTCACCTCGCAGTCGGGCATACTCCATGTAACAGTGAAATATTCCTGCACGGGGGAATTGCCATGCTCGCTACAACTGACCTCAGCCTACCGACTGCTCCCTCAACTTTGCAAAGCAGGTATAACCACCCCGATTTAACAGAAGCAAAAACAGAGGCTGGCTACCATTGCTTGCTCCTCACTCAGGGCTTTTGCACTTGCTGATCTCACTGCCTGATATATTCTCTCCCCAACTAGAGCCTTTACATCCTCCAGTTGCTGCTGAAAAGTTACCATCTCATGAGACCTTCCAGAAACCCTTCCCCTCTTTAGAATTTTACCCTCTCACGCTCCAGCTTCTTATCCCTCTTCTCTGCTTTGACATCCTCGAGAGTTTTCTAGTTTCTTATCTATCTCCCTCATATCCCCAAGAACATAAGCTGCACGGGAGCAAGAATTCATCCTTTTATTCATCGCTCTAAGCCCAAGACCTAGAAAACTGCCCAGGACACAGTAGGCACTCAAACATGTTTGGTAAATGAACGAATGAATAGATGTCAGTACGCTGTGTGGCCTGAGGCTTTCCTCTGATCTTGCCACCCTGTAATAATGATTCATGGGTTGGGAGGGAGGACATGGGTGTTAACGTCCACTAGGGTAGCATTAGGGATTTTCAGCATTCCCCTTAGCTCTTTGCAAAAGAAAATTGTAAAATACAAGAAAAGTAAAAAAAAAAAGCCTAGTCACCTAAACTGCCAGCATCCAGCTAGAAACTACTATTAACATGAATATTTTAATATCTGGGTCCTGAGACTGGGTTACATATCAGGCATGTTTCCTCCTGGAAAGTTTAAATGAATAATCAGAATATAAAGCACTGGGTTTTGTGCGTGGCCTCTGGGTTCTATAGGCCTCGGCTCTTCAGGGCCCTCTTCCATCACCTGCACACACTACCTTCTCAGTAAACCTACTAACTAGTAAATACTAACCATCCCCTTTTTATAGAAGAAATTGATGCACAGGGAAGTTGAGTCATTTTGCCAAGGTCACAGAGCGAGGAGTTGGCAGAAACAGCATTTGAAACCCCAGCTTTCTGGGGCCAGAGCATGCATCCTTAGCCACTGTGCTAGGTAGTCTACTTGCGTGTGCCTTTCAGTGTCGATGACATATAGATTCAGGCCCCGGTCGGGAAGACTATGGTTTAACCCATCCCCAAGTAATGACCATTGATTGTTTCCCAGTGTCTGCTGCCATAAACAACACTGAACTGAACATCTTCACAAATATGTCAAGTAAAAGATAGAGGACATCTGATGGCTCAGAAGATTCCTGCCGGGCCACTGAATGGGTATTTTGCAGACTCTGGGGAGGGGATGGCGCAAGGAAAGGGAAGACTTACCATAGCCCAGCACCAGAATCACCATGACAATCATCACCCAGACCATAATGCCAGCCAGGAAGCGGAGCAACACGATGAACAGGAGGCTCATCACCATGGCGATGACCAGGCCTCTGGGGGCCAAAATGGGAGCATGAGCAGGCCCCACCCTCTTACCCAGACTGCCCAGCCCAGGGAGGGCCACCGTCCCTCCCAACTTACATGACAATCCAGTACCAAGAGACTGTGTAATCTTCAAATATCCGCATGGCCAGCTGCCGTGCCTCCAGGACCCCGTTGGCTTTCCTGAAGTAAGGTAGTCAAAGGTAGTCAGACCCTCACCCTGATCAGCCAGCCCCAGGGACGCCCTGTCCCACCCAGGAAAGCAGAATGCCAGTATGGTGGGCTGTGATCCTCACTTGGCACCCTCCACCAGCTCTGTGATGTTTTTCCGAGCGCCGTGCCCATCCTCATAGGTCGTCTCATTGCCCACCATGAGGACCCCTTTGTGGGCGTGGATGGCTGGGAAGCATCGCCGGGCCACTGCATGGAGCAAGGGATGGGACAGCAGTCAAGTTGAGCCCCGAAACCTTCCCACTCTCCACCAAAGCTCATGAGACCCTAGACTCACAGAGTGTGCTGGGAGTGAGGACAGCAGGGCAGTCGCCATCCCGAAGCACCTCAGCCACACCCTGCCGAGAGAGGCGGGGACGGGGGTTCATCTCCCAGGCCAATGCCCTCCACCTGGCCCCGCCTGGGCTCCCCTCACCTTGTTGTTCTGGAAGCCAGGCACGCAGAACTGCTTGTAATACTCAAAGTCCTGGGATCTGTGAGCATTCAGGTAGGTGAGGTATCGGTCAGGGCACTTCTCCACGCAGATCTTGGGGGGGCGGGAAGCAGGGTTGGGTGGGATCAGATACCCAATCCCCTCACAGAACAGAAGTTCCATCTCCCGTTCACCAGGGAAAAAAGAAAAAGCTGGGAGAGGAGCCATCACTATGGAAGGAAAAGGACCCGGTGATAGGAATCGGGGATAGAGAAGGGCACAGAGAGGGGACAAGTTACCTGGGGGGTGGGACACTGGAATTCCAGCAGGACCAGGGGGCTGGCACATTTCACAATGTTGAAATAAAACAGGTAGGGTTTGTTCCTGGGGTGGGGAGAGGGAGATGGAAACTGTCAAGATTCCTCGACCACCCTATACAAAATATCTTAATGAAAACAACAACAATAATTAACAATAACTGCTGTAGCAACTCTATGCGAGGTGCTAGTCTAAGCTCTGCATGTATAGGCTCATCAAACCATAACAGCAGCCCTCTGAGGGTGGGATTGTTATGCTCCCCATTTTAGAGTTGAGGAAAGTAAGGCCCAGAAAGGTTGAGACACTTGCCCTAGATCACACAACCAAGGCATGATGCAGGCCTCACTTTTACAAGTGAGATAAAAGAACTCCTTCTTAATGAGACTCTTAATGTCTCATTCCATGCTGTGTCCACAGAGCCTAGAACAGCAGCTGGGGATGGTGGGAGTTTCATACATACTTGTTGACTGGACTAATGAATGGACGTAGGTGGGGGAAGCCCTCCTGCGCACTGCTCCACAGACCCATCAGGCCCCAAGGAGCTGGACTTACGCATTTTTCGTGCCTTTCTGTCCACAGAACTCGCCTCGGCTATCGGTAGGGTAGATCACCTTTCGAGGGTCCCCGTGGGTCCAAGCTGTGGAGGGATCCAGGGACACTGAGGCGCTAGCCACTCCCTAGCACCAGTCCCACTCCTGCCCCCAAGGCTGTGGCTCGCTATCTTGCACTGGAACTTGGAACCGCAAGTCCTGTCCCCTCCTCCACTCACCTATGATCCCCACAGCCACGTAGCCCACAATGGCCAGGAGGAGGAACACACAACAAATGATGTCTGTGCAGCCCCTGGAGAGCAAAGGACAGTGTCAGGGTGGGAGCCTTGGTGTCCTGGGTGTCATAATCCATTGTACCCTGCTCACATACATCCATGTGTTATTTGGACACTTGTCCCTGAGTGAAAGTACACATGCATTTTAAATTTTAGTACCTAATGCTACACTGTTTTCAAAGCAGTTCACAGCCATGTCCAGCTCTCTTTTGATTGAAAGTGCCCATTTCCCCACATTTTTACCAGCATCACATATTTTTTAAACTATTTTTATAAGATTAAATATGAATTAAATAATTAAAGCCACATGAGAATGTATACAATAAAGAAATAAATCTCTCCCTCACATATTCCTGCCCATAAGTAACCTCTGTTAATGATTTCTTGTGAGTCCTTTGGGTACAAATGTTTAAAAAAATTTTTTAACTCAAGTGTTATATGAAACACCACTGTTCTGTATCTTGCTTTTTTTGCTTAATATATTGAGGGATCCATGTCATACTCAGGACTCGTACATTTTAACGGCTGTGCAATATTATTATTCAAAGATCCACTGTAATTTAGCAAACTAATTCTAAAGGATGGACGGACATTCAGATGGTTGGATTTTTGCCATTTTTAAAAAGACAGCTATTTCATACATTTTTGTCCATGTGTGCAAGGTTTATGGAGAATTTTTTACCAATAATCTTTGGAACAAAAACTGCAATAATTAGTTTCAGAGCAGAACATGTATTAATCTATTTAATCTTTACTAATCTGTGATGGGAAATTCTATTTGGTTATTGTTTTAAATTACATTCCTTTATTTTCTAGTAAGTTTGAGCATTTTCCTATAACTTCATTGTCTATAGTATTTCTTGTTCTAGAAATTATGTTCCAGTCTTTTGCCTGAACTAAAAAGAAAAAAAACATTTGTAAGGACTCTCTGTATATTAAAGAAATTAGTCTTTTTATCATCAAATTGCAAATATTTATCACCAGTTCCTTGAGAAGGAACTGGGGGAGTGTGAAGAAATGGGTGGGGCAGTGTTAGCAGAGACATCCCCGCCACACACAGGAGCTCAGGCCCTTACCTGTTGTAAATGGGTCCTTTGAAGGTGGGGTCGTACTTCTGTGGAGTTCCTGAAAATCAGCAAGTTTGAGTTGGGTGGGCCAAGAAGGGATTGGGAGAACCCCTCTCCCAGATGGGCGCCCCTAGGGGTATCTTTGGCGCCAGGAGTAAATTTCAGAGACTGCAGATTTTCTGCCTCCCCCAACCTCCAGGCGAGCAGCCCCCGCAGCGCAAGCCAGGGCTGGGGTAGGGGTTGTAGCAGCTGGAGCTGGAGGCCACCCTCTGTGGAGGGGGCTGGAGTGGGAGCCACCTGGGAGCCAGGTGGAGAAGAGAGGGTCCAAGGTGGGACCCCAGAGGAGGGCAATTCCGAGGCAGGCCCTTCGGGTGAGGGGTGCTGGCAAGTGACGTGCAGGGGGCTACAGGCGGAGATCGGCATTTCCGCTGCACCCACCCAGCCCCCGTGGCCATGCCCGGGTGCGCGAGGGGAGCTGCCTACCGTGCTTCCCATAGTAATGTTGCCGCTCGCCCCCCATCCCTGTGGGCGCCCGGCCCCGAAGTCTGGCTGTGCGGGCGTCCCGAGGGAAGGACGGATGGACTGACTGGCGGCGGTTCCTCCCAGCAAAGAGCCGGGCGGGGCAACCCAAACCGGTCTGACCAGCCCCAGCCGAGCCGCGGCGGGGGGAGGGGACCGAGGGAGGGAGGGAGGAG